TAAATGAGTACCTGGTGCGGTGTGTAAACATTGCCACTGGGGAGACAAAGGCGGTCGGGCGTGGTGCTGGCCACCCACCCCCTCGTGTAACGTTCCGGCCTTCATAGGTGCTCGGTAACAGCACTTGCACCTTCGGTGTGTGTGTGTGTGTCGGTGTGTGTGTGTGTCGGTGTGTGTGTGTGTGTCGGTGTGTGTGTATGTGTCGGTGTGTGTGTGTGTGTCGGTGTGTGTGTGTGTGTCGGTGTGTGTGTCGGTGTGTGTCGGTGTGGGGAGCGGTAGTGTAGCGGTTAGCGCGATGCGCTACGAAGCGAGTTCCATTCACGCTCACGGTCAACACCGCAGACGATTATTTGAACCTCTTCCTTGGATTCTTCTAGGTCGACTCCGCCTCAAATGAGTACCTGATGCGGAGCGTGTAAACCTCGCTACATGGTAGACAAAGGTGGCCGAGCGTGGGGCAGTCCACCCATCCCCTTGTGTGCCGTGCCGGCCTTCACAGACGCTCGCCCACGGCACTTGCCCCAACCGTCTGTGAAGGCTACACGGGCGATCTTTGTCACTGGCGCTGTGTTTTGTGTCGTCTCGTCAGCCACACAAAGCCGAGGAAGTTGATCGGCCTCTGATCTCTGAGCTTGGGGCTTGTGGGGGGCGATGGGGGGGTCAGAGGGGCTCTCAGCCCGGGGTGAGAAGGCATACATTTTACAAACACACCAAGTCAAATATCCCCCGTATAGCTTGCAGCAGACTATTGAGGAAGTGCTGTTAGCGAGCACCTATGAAGGCCGGCACGGAACACAAGATGCGATAGCCAACACCACACCCGACCGCCTTTGTCTCTCCAGTTCCGATGTTTACACATCGCACCATGGACTCATGTAAGGTCTGAGTCCACCTAGGGGAGGCGTGGGACCGCCGTGGCGACTGCAGCTGAGACTCGCTGCTGCTGGTACCGTGGCCCCGTAGCGCCCCCTGCCGAGCCTCAGTCGGCGGTCCCACGCCGATTTCCTCCCAGAATCACCCACAAATGTCTGTCCGTCCCGCGCGTGACGTCACTCCACGTGAGCCCCCGCACCCACTAACGCAGAGGAAGGTCGAATTAACTCGTTTATTACGCAAAGTCGCTTCAAATATGACGACTTCTCTTTACAGAAAGTGACGGTAAAAAATGTATCTACGCAGCACAGTGCGTGACGTCACTGCAAAAGAGCCCCCCCCCTTCATTAGTATTCATGCCCGCGTGGAAATTTACACGAACGCACAAGAAGGTCGCGCACTCCACATGCCGCACCCCTCCCTCATTAATAATCATGAGTGGGTGACGTCACACCACATGCCGCACCCCTCCCCAATAACCATGAGGGGGTGACGTCACTCCACATGCCGCACCCCTCCCCAATAACCATTAGCGGGTGACGTCACTCCACATGGAGCAACCCCCCCCCTCATTAATAGTCATGAGCTGAACAATTTTTTTATGAATATTTCAGATTTACTGCAATATGCACCCGTCATTGGACGGGCAAAAAAGCTAGTTAGATATAACTCATTTATTGATATATATATAACTAGCTTCTTTGCCCGTCCTAGGACGGAAGCTGTAATATTCACGAAAAAAATAGCAGAGTATAATTGTATCTTGCATAAATTTAACGGCAGTGAATTTTGCACTAAAGTACGTTATCAAAGACTTCACTGCATTTGACTGTAGCACTGCATTAATGACAGTGGTTCTTGCACAAAACGAAGTCATTAAACGCCTCACTTCATTTTTATATAGCACTGTATATAACTGACCTTCAATTTGTGTTCAAATTCATTGCTCTGATACTTTATTCTCTTTTGCTTTCGGTCGCTGGGGTTGAAATTAATTTGAAATCGATACAATATCTGGAAAATCACCGAGAAATGTCTATTTGACCATAATGTCGAAGCATAACTTAGACTAACATTTCGTCTCAAGTGCTGAAGAAATAAATGAAGACACCAAATCTACTTTGTTGCTGCGTAGAATTATTTATTAGGGTCACTTTCAATAAAGAAACGTCAAACTTAAAGCGAATTTGCGAAAAATATATATATATTTCCACTCGACAATCTTCTGCGTGAGTGTCAAAATCCACCCGCTCATGAATGTTAATGACGGGGGGGGGGGGGGATGCGGCATGTAGAGCGACGTCACACGCTCATGAATATTAATGATGGGGGGGGGGCATCTGGAGTGACGTCACGCGCGGGACACACAGACATTCCTGGCTCATTATAGAAGTCATCCTCTCACCCTTCACTGGGATTACCGATCCCAGTGAAGGGTGAGGATGCTGAGAGGTGAGTTTGAGAGGCGGGGTTGAGAGATGGGGATGATGATGAGGGGTGATGATGAGTTTGAGAGGCGGAGTTGAGAGATGAGGATGATGATGAGAGGTGATGATGAGTTTGAGAGGCGGGGTTGAGAGATGAAGATGAGGAGTGATGATGAGGGGTGATGATGAGTTTGAGAGGCGATCACAAGGGACGAAACTGGTCGGTGTCTCCTCATAGCGCAGGAGCACAGATAAAAAACACCCATCTCCCTTCACCAGGTTAAGCCACCTCGAGCGATGTTCATAGGCCACTTCGAGTGCTCGTCGAAGTGGCTTCTATCATCTCACGGTGGAATTTCTCGTAGCAGCCAAATCATATAAACGCGTGTTTCCAAATGTGGAGGGCAAAACCAACTTACCCGGATAAAACTCCACGCGACCACGAGGAGAGAACACGCGAACTCCAAACGTACACGGGCATCAATCGTCAGGATTCCCGTGTACCAGGCAAGGAAGATCACATCTCGCCCTCGCGTCGACTTCCTGAAGACTGTCGCCAGTCCAACAGGTTTTATTTATGAAGAAATTATTACAAGTTTTACCCTTTCTGGCAATAAAAAAGGGTGTTAAGACCACTCGCTCTGGTGAGGGGGGTGAGGGTGTCACGAGAGAGAGGTGAGGGGGGGGTGGATGCCGCTCGTGGACGCTAGAGGGGGGGTGAGTGGGGTGAGAGGTGAGGGGGGTGAGGGGGGGAGGTGAGGGGGGGAGGTGAGGGGGGGGAGGTGAGGGGGGTGAGGGGGGGTGAGGGGGATGCCGCTCGTGGACGCTAGAGGGGGGGTGAGTGGGGTGAGAGGTGAGGGGGGTGAGGGGGGGAGGTGAGGGGGGGAGGTGAGGGGGGGAGGTGAGGGGGGGAGGTGAGGGGGGTGAGGGGGGGTGAGGGGGATGCCGGGCGTGGACGCTAGAGGGGGGTGAGTGGGGTGAGGGAGATGCCGCTCGTGGACGCTAGAGGGGGGGTGAGTGGGGTGAGAGGTGAGGGGGGTGAGGGGGGGAGGTGAGGGGGGGAGGTGAGGGGGGGAGGTGAGGGGGGGAGGTGAGGGGGGGAGGTGAGGGGGGTGAGGGGGGGTGAGGGGGATGCCGGGCGTGGACGCTAGAGGGGGGTGAGTGGGGTGAGGGGGGTGAGGGGGGGGTGAGGGGGGGGGGTGAGAGGGGGGGGTGAGGGGGGGGTGAGGGGGGAAGGTGAGGGGGGGGTGAGGGGGATGCCGCCGGGCGTGGACGCTAGAGGGGGGTGAGGAGGGTGTCAAGGGTGAGGGGGGGGGGGTGAGGGGGGAAGGTGAGGGGGGGGGTGAGGGGGGGGGTGAGGGGGGGGGGTGAGGGGGGTAGGTGAGGGGGGTGAGGGGGGGAGGTGAGGGGGGGAGGTGAGGGGGGGGTGAGGGGGGGTGAGGGGGGGTGAGGGGGGGGGTGAGGGGGGGGGTGAGGGGGGGTGAGGGGGGGGGTGAGGGGGGGGGGTGAGGGGGGGGGGTGAGGGGGATGCCGCCGGGCGTGGACGCCAGGTGGCGCTCTCCGCCTGCTCCCCGAGTGGTGTCCCAGGCGAGGCCTCGGCGGCGTGGCGGCGCTTTTGTTCGCGGCTGGGGCCGACTCGGAGAGTAGCCGAGGCGGGTCCCGGGGAGCTGTAGGAGGGCGCCGAGACGGGAGAGAGGCGCCTGAGGATGGGGGAGACGACGCGCCGTGCCGGGGGGGCGCCGCCGCCGCTGCGAGAGGCGGCGGCGCGGGGCCGCCGCTCGCTGCTCGTGAGGCGGCTGCCGCGCGCGCTGCCCGCGGACGCGGAGCGGCAGCGGCTGCTGCGGCACTTCGGGGCGAGCGACGTGCGCCCCGCGGGGAAGATGGTGAGGAGCTGGGAGAGCTGGGGTAGAGGGACACAGAGGGGAGCTGGGGGAGAGGGACACAGAGGGGAGCTGGGGTAGAGGGACACAGAGGGGAGCTGGGGGAGAGGGACACAGAGGGGAGCTGGGGTAGAGGGACACAGAGGGGAGCTGGGGGAGAGGGACACAGAGGGGAGCTGGGGGAGAGGGACACAGAGGGGAGCTGGGGGAGAGGGACACAGAGGGGAGCTGGGGGAGAGGGACACAGAGGGGAGCTGGGGTAGAGGGACACAGAGGGAGCTGGGGAGAGGGACACAGAGGGGAGCTGGGGGAGAGGGACACAGAGGGGAGCTGGGGTAGAGGGACACAGAGGGGAGCTGGGGGAGAGGGACACAGAGGGGAGCTGGGGTAGAGGGACACAGAGGGGAGCTGGGGGAGAGGGACACAGAGGGGAGCTGGGGTAGAGGGACACAGAGGGGAGCTGGGGGAGAGGGACACAGAGGGGAGCTGGGGGAGAGGGACACAGAGGGGAGCTGGGGTAGAGGGACACAGAGGGGAGCTGGGGGAGAGGGACACAGAGGGGAGCTGGGGTAGAGGGACACAGAGGGGAGCTGGGGGAGAGGGACACAGAGGGGAGCTGGGGGAGAGGGACACAGAGGGGAGCTGGGGGAGAGGGACACAGAGGGGAGCTGGGGGAGAGGGACACAGAGGGGAGCTGGGGTAGAGGTGAGAGGACGCGTTGTGAGTGTGAATCCCGGCGGCACGTGGAGGCGAGCTGCGAGAGCCGAGCGGGCTGTCTGGATGCGACGCTTTAGACGGCAGAGGGCACCGGGTGTCCTCTGCTTTGCTCTCCTTGTAAGCCAACCCCCACACCGATAGGCGTGGTGAAGTATGGCCAAATCACCCCCCTAGACCAGCATGGCATGGAGATGTCCTCATCCAGCAGTAGAGTTACACGCGGGCTGCGTGGCTGGTGTGAAAGATGCTCTCGTCTTGTTGGTGACGTGGGAGAGAATGATGGACGAGGTTGTCTCCTCATTGTCTCCTCTGCAGAGAAACGCGGCATTTGCCACATTTCCGAGTGAAGCAGCAGCAGCCAAGGTGAGGAGAGCACCACCATCACCACCACCACCATCACCACCACCACCATCACCACCACCACCATCACCACCACCACCATCACCACCACCACCATCATCACCACCACCATCACCACCATCACCATCACCACCACCACCATCACCACCACCACCATCACCACCACCACCATCACCACCACCACCATCACCACCACCACCATCACCACTATCACCATCACCACCGCCATCACCACCATCACCACCGCCATCACCACCATCATCACCACCACCATCACCACCATCACCACCACCACGCGAGACGAACCCTGCGAAGCGGAGGAGCCACCCCCATGTTTGTTCCTGTGCCGTTGTGAACCCGGCGACCCGAGTTCAAGTCCCGCTCACGGCCAGCGCCGCTTCTAGGCCTCCCCTGGGGGTGTCCGATGGGTACCCGGCGCGGTGTGTAAACACTGGGGAGACGAGGGCGAGCGCTGTGTGTGTGTCTGTGTGTGTGTGTCTGTGTGTGTCTGTGTGTGTGTGTGTGTGTCTGTGTGTGTGTGTGTCTGTGTGTGTGTGTGTCTGTGTGTCTGTGTGTGTGTGTGTCTGTGTGTGTGTGTCTGTGTGTGTGTGTCTGTGTGTGTCTGTGTGTGTGTGTCTGTGTGTGTCTGTGTGTGTGTCTGTGTGTGTGTGTGTCTGTGTGTCTGTGTGTGTGTGTGTCTGTGTGTGTGTCTGTGTGTGTGTCTGTGTGTGTGGTCTGTGTGTGTGTCTGTGTGTGTGTGTCTGTGTGTGAGTGTGTGTGTCTGTGTGTGTGTGTGTCTGTGTCTGTGTGTGTGTGTCTGTGTCTGTGTGTGTGTGTGTGTGTCTGTGTGTGTCTGTGTGTGTCTGTGTGTGTGTGTCTGTGTGTGTCTGTGTGTCTGTGTGTGTGTCTGTGTGTGTGTCTGTGTGCAGGCCCTGAGGCGGCTGCACCAGCTGGAGGTGCTGGGCTCCGTGCTGGCAGTGGAGTTCGCTCGGGACCGGGACGCAGCGTCAGCCCGCGAGCCACCGGCCCCTGCCCCGGGGTAGGACCCCCCCTCTCCCCCCCAGGGAAGGGGGCCTCAGGGCGGACACACGGGGGGGGTCGGGTTATGGGTTATGGCTTCAGGGAAATTGGTCAATGAAGCAGAGATGATTTAATCTGTCGGCGCAGACGTGTCAAGTGAGTTGCCTCAGTTGTTTACTGGGAGACCCAAGGAAGCACATGCCAGCTCATTCAGGGTGGAGGGGTAGAAACATTCGCACCTCACAGCAAACAGAACCAACTCGGGCGCATTCCTGTGTGGAGTTTGTATTCCCCTGATCTGCGTGGTTGCTTCCGGTTTCTCCAGTTTGCTCCCATAGCTAAACACATTCGCAATGTAACTGGCATTGACCGACCAAATGGCAATGCTGAATATGTACCTGCAGATTACGAGCCGACTACTGGGAGCGATGCATGTGGCCTGTAACCCAGTAGTGTGGAGACAGGCAGGGAGGATCACAGATATTGTGAAGCTTCCCGTGGACATTAACGAGGGCCATACCTTGGCTCGCGAGAATAAGGCAGCACAGTACATGGACTAATCACCATCTGTGTCCATCTGTATGGGGATAGAGTGTTGCCAACAATGCAGGACCCTGCTGAAAATTAGTCTCATTGTGGCTTGTCCTAGATCAATAAGTAATTATATACATATAGCAACATCATGCCCTACGGCGATCCAAGTTCAATTCCTCCGCACGGCCAACAACACGTTTATTTGATACTCTTCGGTTTTTTCGGTAAAGCCACGTTGGTAAAATGTTTAAAAAATTTAATCACGACGTTTCGGGCGCAACACAAGCGTCCTTCAGGTGGGGACAACGTAGCGAAAGCACAACCGCTGAAGTGTCTCCACACTTACAACGTAGTGAAAGCACACCGCTGAAGTGTGTCTCAGAGGTGGCTGTGACGAGTAATTATGTAGTCGTGGGGGGTGGGGGGTGGGGGAATGGTGAGTGTGGGGGCGGGGTGTGGGCTGGGAGGTAGCGTCGTGTACCCCGAGTTCAAACTGAGGCTTTGTAATGTAGATGGTGGAAGTAGATAAGCCGCCTTTTGTTATGCTGCCGGGTAAATTAGTAACGCGTAGAGTTCAAACTGAAATGTGCAGGCTAAAAACAACGTGTGGTAATGTGGGATAACAGACTGGGAGTATATGGATATGTTTATAGAATTACATGCCATGTGGGTGTTGTGCGTGGTGTTTGTTGGTGTGTGGGTGTTGTGGGTGGTGTAATGCCGTGTGGGTGTTGTGCGTGGTGTTTGTTGGTGTGTGGGTGTTGTGGGTGGTGTAATGCCGTGTGGGTGTTGTGCGTGGTGTTTGTTGGTGTGTGGGTGTTGTGGGTGGTGTAATGCCGTGTGGGTGTTGTGCGTGGTGTTTGTTGGTGTGTGGGTGTTGTGGGTGGTGTAATGCCGTGTGGGTGTTGTGCGTGGTGTTTGTCGGTGTGTGGGTGTTGTGGGTGGTGTAATGCCGTGTGGGTGTTGTGCGTGGTGTTTGTCGGTGTGTGGGTGTTGTGGGTGGTGTAATGCCGTGTGGGTGTTGTGCGTGGTGTTTGTTGGTGTGTGGGTGTTGTGGGTGGTGTAATGCCGTGTGGGTGTTGTGCGTGGTGTTTGTCGGTGTGTGGGTGTTGTGGGTGGTGTAATGCCGTGTGGGTGTTGTGCGTGGTGTTTGTCGGTGTGTGGGTGTTGTGGGTGGTGTAATGCCGTGTGGGTGTTGTGCGTGGTGTTTGTTGGTGTGTGGGTGTTGTGGGTGGTGTAATGCCGTGTGGGTGTTGTGCGTGGTGTTTGTCGGTGTGTGGGTGTTGTGGGTGGTGTAATGCCGTGTGGGTGTTGTGCGTGGTGTTTGTCGGTGTGTGCAAAGTCGTGACAAGAGCACCGTAGGAAGTCACGCGGAGTCTGCCCCCGTGCCGCCTAAGGCTTCCCAACTCGACGCCATTGCTCCAAAACTCGGGTTTGTCATTTTGTTGACTCGATGCATCGTTCACTCTCTGCACCCCATGTGAGAACTCCCCATGACCTTGTCGCACTGTAATGGACACGTTGCCCTTTTCCTGCAGGGTGACCTACACGGCAAACCCCCTGCTGAGATATCGTTACCCACCGCCAACCACCAACATTCTCGCCAACATCTGCCATGCGCTGTCCAGCAGCCCCCGCTTCTACACACAGGCACGTACGCACATGCACGTCGGCATGTACACACATGCACGCACGCACACACATGCACGTCGGCATGTACACACATGCACGCACGCACCCACATGCACGTCGGCATGTACACATATGCACGCACGCACACACATGCACGTCGGCATGTACACACATGCACGCACGCACACACATGCACGTCGGCATGTACACACCCAGCTGGTGATGAAGTCACATACAGACAAACCCGGATTAAGTTGAAATATAAACGCACCCACGTGTACACATGCATGTCCCGTGCTCCTGATGCTGCTCATGTATCCGTGTGTCTATATCTCTGTGCTGCTTATGTTTGCAGGTCCTGCACCTCATGAATAAGATGAATCTCCCAGCTCCATTTGGTCATGTGACATCCCCACCTCCCCTGGTAGGCAAAATGGCCAGCAATCACTCTCATGGTATTTAGGAGGATGAGTGTGAGAAGGAAGAGTTTGGCATGAAGGTTTTCGCAGCCACTTGTGATCCAAGCGTGGTCTCCCAGGGTTAGACCATGTGTTGAGCATTTCCTCTCTCAAGCTTTCGCCACACACGTCTGCAGGCATCTTCAGGAGTTGAAGGAACAGCAGGAACCTCTGAATTCGCTGTCCAGTTGGCTGCATCAACTTAAGAACCTGTGATTGTGCCTAGGGAAAGCTTCATAGAAAATGTCTCAGCACATTGCCTGAGCTGAAATGCAACGTTGGGATCTATTATGATTGATTATTATTACTCTTTTTCACACAGAAAAACATCAGGACCTGTATTTGACAGACTGGGTCCTCACCTATAAACATCAGTTCACCAACATTGGTTCAAGCAAGTCTGACTCCTAATGAGACAATGTTGAGTTTGCCTGTGTTTAACCAATATTGCTGATGTTATGCACTCTGAGAAGGGCGTGTGTCTGATGGGATGTCTACAAAATACTTGTATTGTTTATGTCGAGGGACCGCTATGGGAAGGTGTCTTGCCGGCTTATCTGTTGTTTATATTCTCTCCGCTATGGCGCCTATGATGATCTTGTGTTCACAACCCAAGCTCGTTTTCTCTTTGCTCTTAGGTGGCAGACTTTGCTCCGGTGCCCCCTGCTGCCTTGCCACAGTTGCCCCCCTTGCCCCCCGAGGAGCCCCCCCGAGACGCGGAGCGGCTCCCCCCAGCTCCCCCGGAGCCCGAGGAGGTGGAGATGGAAGTGTCCAGCGATGAGGAGTCCGAGTACGAGAGTGAGGAGGACGAGCACGCACGCAGGTGAGTGGGGGGGGGGCGCCACTTGGTGAGGCAGACGGCACAGGTGAGCGAGCAGTTGAGGGATCTGAGAGGCAAGGCGATCTGGGCCCGGTGTGGTGGTTGTGTGTGGTATGGTAGGTGCCAGCAGTTGCCCCAACAGTTGCCCCAACAGTGCTAAATGTTATATGGGAGATCCTTGTCCTTTGGGTGCGGTGGGTGTCCAGTGTTTGATAGAGCCGCCGTCCTTCATCCCGAGCGTCTCGGAGCGCTTTACATGCCAACTCACGTCACGTCCCAACTCAACACGTTTTGAGAGGACAATGTCGGCTATTCCTGTGGGATAGCTGTGTAATCCCAATTAAGTCATTTGTGGGTAACTCTTGAATTTGCCTAATTCGGATGACCCCAGCACACAATGAACTACTCTTGCAAATTATGTCACGGGACCTTTAACATCCACTGTGAAGAAGACGGCCTGGTGCTGGGCTCAAACTGCGAACCTCTGCAACGGGCGGCGACCACGCTAGTGCCGTGCCACTATGTCACCACGTGTTGTGTGGTCTCTGCGGTCCTTGTGCTTCGTAGGCTCAAAACGATGACGGATACCGCCCCTGCTCTGCCTAAGAGGCCGCTGGGTAAGAAGAAAATATCAAAGCGCAAGCGGCCGAAACTCCAGGATCTTCTGGTTGCCCCGAAGGCCCCAGTGCCAGGGTGAGACTGGGCTTGAACGCGGAGAAACGATTGCCTGCAACTGAATGAGTCGCTTGTGTATGGATGTCTCTGCAATCGGTTGCCACACACTCGGCCATTTGTAGTCAAGCATGTAATGACATGACGCATTTGTGTAACTGATGAGTTCTTACAATCCTGACATGGGTAGGGGGAGGAGCTCACCAGGCGAGGCATCGGGCTCTGCTCTAGGGGCATGGCCAGACACTTGAGCCATGCCCGGACACGCCCGGACTGCACAACTGCTCACTCAGATTGTGGATAAAGCAGTTGCAGGCAATTAAGTTGCGTGATGTCGAGAGCGATTTGGTTGATTTCTCAAGTTTGAAGAAAGCTGTAATGTGACGGTGGCTGGAGATAGAGAGTTCCCGCGAGTGGGAGCTCCCTCTCTTGGAGGCCCCTCCGTCATCAGTGGCAGGGCTGCGTCCTTACCTCTTAACAGAGACGCGAGGATACATGATGAACCACGCTGTGACTTAGGCCAATGTGCCATTAGTAGGTCTGCGCATGCCCATTAGTGCGTTCGTTACTCATATTCCACTGGAATTAGTTACCGGTTCTTGTCTTTTGATCCCAATTTGATTCCCACTCACGGCCAACAACAGCGACGAATATCTTAACCGCTCTTGCGCCTCCCCTAGGTTGACTCAGCTGTAAATGAGAACTTGGTGCAATGTCTAAACATCTCGCTGGCACGCCACACCACTCCCTCGTGTGCCGTGCCGGCCTTCTTAGGAGCTTGCTGACAGCGCTTGTTCTGACAGGGTGTTGAGGCTACACAAGGGATCTTTATCTTTTTTGTTACAGTTCCCAGCCGGCCCTCACACCGGCACAGGTGTTTGAGCAGCCAGCACTGGCCGTGTCGCGTAAGATCGCCATCTCCCTGCCCTCCCGGCCTCCTGCACACACAGCTCCTCACCCTGCCTCACCGGGTGAGTCCCGAGCGGGGCAAGTGGTCTCCGCACAAGAACGGATGAGCTTATGAGTCTCTTTGACTACCTTATATCCGGGGTCCACTCCCCCTGCCATCTGTGCTGTTAACTCCCTGCCTCTGCTCATAAATAGACTCACTCATGGAGCCTTAAGAATTTACAGAGACCCATACACTTATAGAAAAGCTCAACGACTCACAAAGATACCTATAGCTGTCTCTTTCTCTGTGCCTGTCTTCCCTCTGTGTTGTGTTTCCATCGTCTATGAGGGGAGAACGACTCCGTAAATTTGTGATTTATTTCAGTCGATCCTCTCGGGGAGAGAGAAGGGAAGGAGGAGAGAGAGGGGATGGAGGATGTGGGAATGGGGGCCGGGGAGGAGGGGCAAGGGGGGGGAGGGTTCGGGAAGATGTTCCCTGCTCCCGCCTGCCCCTCCCCGAACCGCACGGATGATGAGGGTGAGGAGGAGGAGGAGCAGCCGTCTCAGTTTATCTCCCGGAAGGAGCTGTCCTCAGGCCGTGTCTCCAGAGAAGGTGAGGTTTATCGTGACTGCAGACACATCCAGGGCATCGAGTGACACACACAGCAAAACAGTAGTGACCCTCGTACGAAAAAAAATCGCCTGTATAGCCTTAACAGACTTATGAAGGCCTGCAACACCCATATGCACACTAATATCAATACCCGCCATTCGCCACTAAGTGACGGCGACGTCACCATGGCGCCTGTGCCAGGCCAGGTGCACTTTGAGGCCACGTGAAGCGATGAAGACTCGCTGACTGACAGGAGGTCTCGGGAAAGACCCAGGTGCCATGGGTTGGCTGACTGAGATGACTGGTGGATGCACCAGCTGTACCCCCTACTGTGCCAACTTGCTGTATTTTAGCCGCCCAGCACTCCGCTCGTTGTTGTGAACCTCACTCCTCTGCCCTCCGTTGTTGCTGGAGGGCGACTGCCTCCAACTGGCCAGTAGCGTCCTTTATGAGCCTCCTCCACAGAGGCCGGTCTTGACACCGCTGGTACCAGTCATAGGTAAGTGCACTCAGCTCCCCATCCTCCCGTACTGTATCAGTCCATCTTTTCTCCCGCCATGTCGTGCCCATTTAGGAGGGATGGTGGGCTGAGCCAATCCTCAACCAGAATTTGAACTCGCGTCCTTCCAACTGCTCGCTGCTCGCTCTCGCGCTGAGCCACTCACCGTGGACCGTGGTGTGGAGATGAGCGCAGCCCCGATGCTCGATTGTGTGGGAAGTCACCAGCGGTCTGTGTCGTTCTGCAGAGATGGCGAAGAGTTCCGTGTTCAAGAACTACTCCGCAGGAGAGCCGACGTGCCGTTTGTACGTCAAGAATCTGTCGAGGCAGGTCTCCGAACAGGTACGCACACGCGCACGCACGTACACACGGCGCATGTGTTTGTGTGTGTGTACACGAGCTAGCGTCCTGTGTACTTGTGGAATGCGTGAGTTTGAGCTTGACTGCCTGGCGTTTAATGATGCAATGATTCATCGATCAATATCGATTCTCGCGCTCATCATTCACGCATCGAATCACCCATCTTATAAGTGCCTATTTACAATTTATGCATATCAGCTTTGTGCTCATGCAACGAACAAGACAGAACAATACCGAGACAAACGAGACCGTTACACACGAGTTGTTAAAAATAAAACAAAACAATTCTTGATTCATTCATCATTCCCACAAAATGAACCTGTAAATGTCTGGCAGGATTGTTGGTTGCTCTGTTTTGCGACTGCAAAGTTGTGTTAGAGAGGGCATGACACATGAGAGGTTGAGGTATCTGTTCAATGATGTGCTCCCTGTGCCTCGTGTTGGCAGGATCTGAAGCACATATTTGGAAGATACGTGGACTTCTCTTCAGATGTGGAAAAGAACATGTGAGTGTATTCGCATCACATGAACCACCATTGTCTCTTGTGTGACTGATGTCACTCTGGTCACTTGCTCACCGGTGGTCAGGCGTCTCCTTATCCCTCTTTTATTGCTACAACCATGGATACTGTTCTTGTGAACTTTACTCGTTGATTTCTCCACCCATATTCACCCACCACACTGCACAACACGCACTCACCCACCACACTGCACAACACACTGCACAACACACACTCACCCACCACACTGCACAACACACACTCACCCACCACACTGCACAACACACACTCACCCACCACACTGCACAACACACAGTCACCTACCACACTGCAGGTCACACACTCACCCACCACACTGCACAACACACTCACCCACCACACTGCAGGTCACATACTCAGGTCAGTGCTCAGCAAATGTGTTAACAACAAAGAATGTGTCCGTTACTTGCCTGTGACTCCTCAAAGACAAAGATCCCTGTGTAGCCTTCAGAGACTGATGCAAGTGCTGTTAGCGAGCACCTATGACAACCAAGATGGCGCACGAGGGAGTGGTGTAGGCAGAACCACGCTTCACATTCACACTGCCCTCACAGAGCCGTGTGGGTTGACTGCTTTGCTTGTGTTGTCCACTTGTGTTCCCTGTTAGGTTTGACGTGCGGTTAATGCGGGAAGGCCGTATGAAAGGTCAGGCCTTTGTGGGCCTGCCAAGCGAGCGGGAAGCGCAGAAGGCCCTGAGGGATGCCCACGGCTATGTGCTGCATGGCCGCCCGCTCGTCATTGTATCCTCCCCTGTGCCCGCCGTGATGATGCCATCTTTAATTTTCGTTGTCCCCCCAACTTTATCCTGATTGTGCTATCGGTAGGATTACCAGCTCCCCAGGGTAGAGCTGGACTGGTTGGCAACTTGGAGGGGTAGCAACCCCCCCAAGTTTGACCCAGATAGTCCGTAAATGATTAGGAAATTGGCTGTGCTGGGTGGGACAAATATGTAGGATGCAAGATACGGTAATCAACTTGGAGATTGAGACGAGAAAATGGCAGGTAAGTGTTGTAGATATAGTTAGGAAAGTTAGTTGATTTCTCTAAGACGATGGTACTTTGCAAGCCTACTGGCTATCAACAAAGATTCGTTCATGAAGCCATCCATATATAGAGACACAGACACAATTTCAACCGAGAGGATGGTTATAAACTCAGCAACCATTGGAAAGATGTCATCAACCACTTTGGGTCATGACTTGATTTGTGTTTTCTTGTCAACCTCCACCGTCAGCAGTGTGGGTGTGTGGAGCGAGGTGCAATGATTGCCTGGATGCCCTTTTGGTGGAGACCCACTGCGTTGGCTTTGCTTTCTCCGACATTAACATCAGCTGCCCCACCCATGCTGCTGACACACTTGGGCTACGCCCATCTCTAAACCTTTATAAACAGTTTGCCTTTCGAGGCTAAACCCCCTTTTCCTGATGACGACCGCTTGTGTTGCGATCGAAACTGAGTGGGTTTTGTTTCTGTTTAAATTTTCTTTTTATTATTTTTCTTTTTATTCACTGAATTTTTAAAATAATTTTTCTATCTCCGTGACTTTACTGAAAGAACCAAAGAATAGCAAAAAACGGTTGCGCTGAGTGGATTGGTGAGGGCCGATTGTGGAGTCAGGCACTGTAGTGTCCAGCGGCCAAGGAGAAGATCGAATATATATATTCACTGTGTAACAAAAAAATTATTGTTCCTGGGTAGTAAGTGTAATTTCCTAATTGCTTATCCCTCAAAAGTACAGAAAATGGCTGTTATTATTCCCCACAAAACTTTGCTTTTATGACCAGGACACTGATTTTTTGAAATTTACCTATTTTCAATGTGAAAACGTGGTGTGCATTCATGTATTTCGTTCACATAAAGTCCTGGTCACAAAAGCAAAGTTTGTGGGGAATAATAACCATTTTCTATACTTTTTAGGCATAAGCAATTAAAGAATAACACTTAGTACCCAGGAACAAAAACTGTGTTACATCGTGAGATCAGAGGGTGGGAAGGTTAGAGCAGATGTTCGAGGCTGCTGTGTATCGATTGTGTAGCAGCTGTGGGATCGAGAGCGTTGGCGAGGCGTGGTGGCACCGGCCGTGTCGGCCACGATGACGTCTCGTTCCCAATCTTGTTGGTCTCCCTTGACTGGCTCCGCTCAGCAATTCGCACGCTCGGCCCGGCCCAAGGAAGAGCCCAAGGTGGGCAAGAAGAAGAGCTCGCTCGATGCGGTGACGTCAAACCATCCGGGATGAAATGCGCCCCAGGGAGGAGACGCAGCGGCTGTGCGAGCCGCTCACTGACCACAACGCATTCGACACCGACCACAACAGCGTGGCAACGCAGTGGTGACACTCGCACCTCGCGGCAAGAAGGGCCTGGGTTTGATTTCTGGATAGGGCACCTCCGCGTGGAGTTAGTATGTTCTCCCCCTGTTCTCCAATGTGTGGTTGCCTCCTTCCGGCTTGTCCGGAGTTCCTACTCGCACCTCCGAGTCATTCTCTGTCTTCCAGAGTGAGTGGATACTGTGCAGCAGCGGTGCGTTATAAGTTGAGATTGTTATTATTCATCTTGTCGTGCTGGGTTAGGGTTTAAATCCTTGCACGTGTGAGTGAAGTGAAGTTGTCTTTGTAAATAAAACATGAGAGATGAGTGTGAAGCAATCCGTGTTTTTCACGTTTCTAGTGCCGCACCCTCCGCTTGGCTGTGACTGAGCCCAGTGGCTCCTTGAGTTAAACCTTGGGATTGAGATGAACCTGGCGACTCGGGTGGCTGGGTCACGCAGGTTTTGTAAAACTCTCAAACCAGCTGGGCTGCGAGTGACGGGGTGTGGGTTGACGAACTCTTGCAAAACTTGGACGCGATTGCCGAAAAAAACAAACCAAAGAGTTATGCTTTTAAACACAATTGCTGAGCCCAGGCCAAAACTGTCAAACGTCCAGCAACAAACAGCGAGAAAAAAGTTGCAATAGATAAGCGTGAAGACGTTTCTTGAATTAAGCAAGGTTACAAAAATAGTTTGTAGAATAGACCATGGGAGGTAATTCCAAAGTGGAGCAGTGCGGGGGAAGAAGCAGACAGTATGACGAATCGGCGTGAGGGCCGAGTGGATTAGTGAGTTGGATGGGTGACGTGAATGGGTAAGTGTTGTTGAGACCTGCAGTCGTCGTGGTCAACACGGTGTATCTGAGATCAAACTCTCTGGTGGACAGGCCCCCCACCATGGGTGGAGGGATCAATGAGTGAAGTTCACGGGAGCAGGAGGAGTCGTGGTAACGATAGATGAGTGACGAGGAGGCGACTGACCACCGGTGAGCGCTGGATCACCAATCGTACAACTAATATTTGACAAATTGAGAGAATAAATAAGATTAAATTATAGAGAAACATTTGAAATAGGTTAATAAAAATATATAATACAAAATGATTTAAGATGTCAGTCACAAGACTTAAGCTACATTAATGGAATAGTGCATTGATATTTTTAATGCTTTATTATTTATTCAAATTGATGACAATTATCGTTTGGCCAATGGAATGATCAATCCAGAACAAGAATCGATTAAACTCGGAATCGTTAACTACGAAATCGTTGGCGTGCGTGATGACGTCACCAATGCGGGTGGAAGTGGTCGGCGTGATGACGTCACTGCGCGTCCAAAGTGGGGCGCTGCCTCTACATTCCCTACAGCGGATACGCGGCTTGACGCTCACGCGTCCTCTCATTGGTGGAACCGCCGCGAAGGGGCGGGACGTCTTGCACTTAACACGCAGCCATTGGCTGCACATCAACGTGGCGTCGCCTCCTCCACTAACGCTGACCAATCACGCGTGAGGCGGCGGGGCTTCCCGACCGATGCGCGCGGGGAAATATGAACAGCCCCGGAGCGAGGAGGAGGAGGGAGACGCCGCCGAGGGTCGGGAGAGAGAGGCGGGGACACGGAGAGAGACGCGGAGGGAGACGAGGAGAGACGCGGGGACACGGAGAGAGACGCGGAGGGAGACGAGGAGAGACGCGGGGACACGGAGAGAGACGCGGAGGGAGACGAGGAGAGACGCGGGGACACGGAGGGAGACGCGGAGGGTCGGGAGGGAGACGCGGGGCTGAGCCATGAAGTTCGCCGAGCATCTGTCCGCGCACATCACACCCGAGTGGCGCAAACAGTACATCCAGTACGAGGTGCGGGCAATGCGGCTTGAGGGGGTGCAGGGTGAGGGGTACAGGTTGAGGGGTGAGGGGTGTTGTAGAGTTAGGAAGGGGTAGCGGGTGGTGAGGCTTGAGGGGTAGCGGGTCAAGGGTACAGGGTGAGGGGCACTGGTTGAGAAGCGAGGGGTCGGGGGACAGTGGGGCGGGATAAGGGCTACAGGGTCACTCGAGGTCGAGGCTGCTGCTGCCCCACGGCTCTGCTGCTGCTGCTGCCCCACGGCTCTGCTGCTGCTGCTGCCCCACGGCTCTGCTGCTGCTGCTGCCCCACGGCTCTGCTGCTGCTGCTGCCCCTGCCCCCCTCGTGACCCGCGTCTGTGACCCGCGTCCCGTCCTCTCCCCTCTGCAGGCGCTCAAGCAGACGCTCTACGCCGCCCACGACCAGGCGCCGGCGCCAGAAGGTAGGCGGGCGGCAGCAGCGTTTGTCCTGACCGGGGTGGTGACTGGAGTGGTGTGGTGAGAGGGGTGGTGTGGTGAGGGGTGGTGTGGTGAGAGGGGTGGTGTGGTGAGAGGGGTGGTGTGGTGAGAGGGGTGGTGTGGTGAGAGGGGTGGTGTGGTGAGGGGTGGTGTGGTGAGGGGTGGTGTGGTGAGAGGGGTGGTGTGGTGAGAGGGGTGGTGTGGTGACTGGAGTGGGGTGGTGAGAGGGGTGGTGTGGTGAGAGGGGTGGTGTGGTGAGAGGGGTGGTGTGGTGAGGGGTGGTGTGGTGAGGGGTGGTGTGGTGAGAGGGGTGGTGTGGTGAGAGGGGTGGTGTGGTGACTGGAGTGGTGTGGTGAGAGGGGTGGCGTGGTGAGGGGTGGTGTGGTGAGGGGTGGTGTGGTGAGAGGGGTGGTGTGGTGAGGGGGTGGTGTGGTGAGGGGTGGTGTGGTGAGAGGGGTGGTGTGGTGAGAGGGGTGGTGTGGTGAGGGTGGTGTGGTGAGAGGGGTGGTGTGGTGAGAGGGGTGGTGTGGTGAGAGGGGTGGTGTGGTGAGAGGGGTGGTGTGGTGAGAGGGGTGGTGTGGTGAGAGGGGTGGTGTGGTGAGGGGTGTGGTGTGGTGAGGGGTGGTGTGGTGAGGGGTGGTGTGGTGAGGGGTGGTGTGGTGAGAGGGGTGGTGTGGTGAGAGGGGTGGTGTGGTGAGGGGTGGTGTGGTGAGGGGTGGTGTGGTGAGGGGTGGTGTGGTGAGAGGGGGTGGTGTGGTGAGAGGGGTAGTGTGGTGAGAGGGGTGGTGTGGTGAGAGGGGTGGTGTGGTGAGAGGGGTGGTGTGGTGAGAGGGGTGGTGTGGTGAGAGGGGTGGTGTGGTGAGAGGGGTGGTGTGGTGAGGGGTGGTGTCGTGAGAGGGGTGGTGTGGTGAGAGGGGTCAGCGCGCTGCGCTACGAACCCGGCGACACGAGTTCGATTCCTGTTCACGATTATCTGAGTTGGTCCCGGGCCTCCCCTAGGTCGACTCGGTCCCAAATGAGTAGCTGGTGCGATGTGTAAACATCGCCAATGGCAATACAAAGACAGCGACGCGTTGGGCTGGCCACCCACCCCCGCGTGTGGCATTCCGGCCTTCATAGATGCTCACTCACAGCCCCACCGGCCTGTTAAGCCTTCTGGGGGATTTGTCTTTCATATGAAGAGGGTGGTGTGATGACAGATGTGCAGTCGGGTGGTGACTTGAATGGTGCGGTGAGAGGGGCGGTCTGCGTTACAGGGGTGGTGTAGTGACATGCACGCGGTGGAACAGGGTGGTGAGCTGGCGAGCGGTGTGTGCAGTGGCGGCAGGGATGGGGGTAGTGTGGTGGCCGAGGGTGCTCTACTTCCTAGTGTTGTTGTGGTGGTGTGCTGTGTTTACGTGTTGTTGTGGTGGTGTGCTGTGTTACGTGTTGTGGTGGTGTGCTGTGTTTACGTGTTGTGGTGTGCTGTGTTACGTGTTGTGGTGTGCTGTGTTACGTGTTGTGGTGGTGTGCTGTGTTACGTGTTGTGGTGTGCTGTGTTACGTGTTGTGGTGGTGTGCTGTGTTACGTGTTGTGGTGGTGTGCTGTGTTACGTGTTGTGGTGGTGTGCTGTGTTACGTGTTGTGGTGGTGTGCTGTGTTACGTGTTGTGGTGGTGTGCTGTGTTACGTGTTGTGGTGGTGTGCTGTGTTACGTGTTGTGGTGGTGTGCTGTGTTTACGTGTTGTGGTGGTGTGCTGTGTTTACGTGTTGTTGGGGTGGTGTGCTGTGTTTACGTGTTGTGGTGTGCTGTGTTACGTGTTGTTGTGGTGGTGTGCTGTGTTTACATGTTGTTGTTGTGAGGTGCTGTGTTTACGTGTTGTGGTGTATTTACGTGTTGTTGTTGTGGTGTGCTGTGTATACGTGTTGTTGTGGTGTGCTGTGTTACGTGTTGTGGTGGTGTGCTGTGTTACGTGTTGTGGTGGTGTGCTGTGTTACGTGTTGTGGTGGTGTGCTGTGTTACGTGCTGTGGTGGTGTGCTGTGTTACGTGTTGTGGTGGTGTGCTGTGTTACGTGTTGTGGTGGTGTGCTGTGTTACGTGTTGTGGTGGTGTGCTGTGTTACGTGTTGTGGTGGTGTGCTGTGTTACGTGTTGTGGTGGTGTGCTGTGTTACGTGTTGTTGGGGTGGTGTGCTGTGTTTACGTGTTGTGGTGTGCTGTGTTACGTGTTGTTGTGGTGGTGTGCTGTGTTTACATGTTGTTGTTGTGAGGTTCTGTGTTTACGTGTTGTGGTGTATTTACGTGTTGTTGTTGTGGTGTGCTGTGTATACGTGTTGTTGTGGTGTGCTGTGTATACGTGTTGTTGTGGTGTGCTGTGTATACGTGTTGTTGTGGTGTGCTGTGTATACGTGTTGTTGTGGTGTGCTGTGTATACGTGTTGTTGTGGTGTGTTGTGTATTGGTGTTTTCTTGTTTACGTGCATTGCTTTGTGTATTTGCCTGTGTTGTTTTTGTGTCTTGTGGTTACGTGTGTCGTGTATTGGTGTTTACATGTGTTATTTTGGTGTGATGTGTTTCCTTGTGTTGTGTAATCGTATTTTAGTGTGTTGGTGTTTTCTTGAGTTGTGTTTGCATGTGGTCTTTTGATCTGCTTGCGTGTTTTGTGTTGTAACTGCAGGGCGCAGCAAATGTGACTTCTGGTCTATGAGGTTTGGGCTATAAATGGTGCAAGCCCTTCCGTGGCAATCTGAGCTCAGCGCAGCGGCCCCACTTCCAGGGCCTTGCGAGTGTATCCTCTCTCTCCCTCTGCGCCCAGTGCAAAAGCAATGTGGGTCGACTTGGCACCCAAACTCACACTTGAGCAGCTCTGGGTGTCAGGCTTCAAGGCCCTGGGCATCTGCCATTGAAATACACAACACACACATTGATGTACACAACAACAACCGCCATTCGCCACTAAGTGGCGGTGACGTCACCACGATGCTTGTGCCAGGCCAAGTGCACCTTGAGGCCACGTGAAGTGTCGAAAGCCCGCTGGCAGGAGGTCACGGGGCAGACCCAGGTGCCACGGGTCGACTGACCGAGATGACCGAGATGACTGGCTGATGCACCACCTGTGCCCCCTACTGTGCCAACTTGCTGTGCTTTAGCCACCCGGCGCTCCGCTCGTTGTTGTGAGCGTCGCTCCTCCGCCCTCCGTTGTTGTTGGAGGGCGACTGCCTCCAACTGCCCAGTAGCGTCCTTCACGAGCCTCCTCCACTGAGGCCGATCTTGACACCGCTGGTACCAGTCATCGGCAAGTCCACTCAGCTCCACGTCCTCCTGTACCACATCACTCCATCTCTTCTCCAGCCCGTGCCGCGCCCGTCTAGCCCCCTCGATCCGGCCGAACAAAAGCTGTTTAGGCATGCGGTGGCTGGGCATGCGGGCTACATGACCCAGCCAACGCAGCCTTGCCTGCCGGAGGAGCTCACTGATGGGACTTTGCCCAGATCTTTCAAGGATTTGTGAGCTCCTCACACAATCCAGCCTGGTTAAACCCAGGATGGATCGTAGGCAGGCCAGCCTAAATGTTTCCAACCGGCGAAGATGCTCCACCAGGGGGGTCCACGTCTCGCAAGCGTAGAGAAGGGAGGGAATGACCGTGGCCGAGAAGACCTGAAGCTTCGTGCGGAGCGACAGACCAGGTAACTTCCACACAGCGTTACGCAACCGATGAAAAGATATTGCCGCTCGACTGATTCGGAGTGAGACCTCTGCTGATAGACTGGAGCCGGTCATAAGCATACTGCCCAGGTATGGGAAACTCTCCACTCTCTCCACAACTGCCCCATCACCAATTGGGAGTTGTGGGGGTGGAGTGTCCGATGGTACAAAATACCCAGGCAGGTGCTTGGTTTTGGTGGGGCTGATGGTAAGGCCCCACCTCTTAGTGGCACGCTCCAGTCTCAGCAGCAGCGCCTCCAACTCCTCTTCTGAATGAGCAGCTATTACCAAATCATCGGCATACATAACGTGGTTGACCAATAGGGAGCCATCCCTTGATCGCACCCGGGCGTCGATCAGCCTCCCATTATATCTGTACCAAATGGAAATTCCTCCGGTACAGCTATTGAAGGCTTCACGAACTACGCGGTCAAAATAGATGTTAAATAATGTGGGAGCCAGAGGACATCCCTGTCGCACCCCAAGGTGTACAGGGAAAGGCTCCGACTCCCGGCCACGTAGTTTTACCCGGGCCCGCTCACCATCATGAAGGTCCTTAATGATCGTGAGCAGAGGGTCAGGGACTCCGAAAGCACGAAGAACAACCCAGAGCCCAGTCCTACTGATGGTATCATAGGCCTTGACCAGGTCAATAAAGCAGAGATGTAGGTCTTTTTGGAATTCCCTACACCTCTGCTGTAGCAGACGGACAGAAAATATGGCATCTGTGCAGGACCGCCCTTTCCTGAAACCGCATTGGGGCTCCGCAAGCCTCTCCTCAGCGTGCCTAGCAAGGCGATGTTGAATAATCCTTGCCAGGACCTTACCCGGCACACTGAGGAGTGAGATGCCCCTGTAGTTGTTACAGTCGGTACGGTCCCCCTTCTTAAAGAGGGGAACCACCAGGGCATCCTTCCAGTCCTGCGGAACCCGTCCAGTGGTCCAGACTGTTGTTATGATGTCATATAGGGCAGTCTGTGCACAAACGCCACCCTCCCTCAGCATTTCGCTTGGGAGATCATCTCTGCCCGGTGCCTTCCCTGGTCTCAGACTCCGGATCGCCCTCAGTACTTCCTCAACAGCTGGAACCTCAGCCAGCCACTCACAGGGGGTGACCTCTTCCAATATTTGAGGCACCGCAGCCTCAGCAGGGTTATCCCCACTTTGTGCCATGATGTTTTCCTGGCTGAGAGAATTTCCCTCCCCCAGGACCTCACAGAAATGCTCAGCAAATCTGCAAACCTGTTCCTGGGGGTCGGAGATTGGATCACCGTTTTTTCCTCTAATGATGGTAATAGGTGTGG